TCTAAATGCAGTGGGAAACCAGTAAAAAGAAACCTGAGTAGTTTGGCGTGTGTATAATTGCAGTTTTGTAGGGATTTATACCTATCAAATGATGATTTGCTTTGCTATTTATTTTTGTTTTGACCATGCAGACTACTTCAGGACAGGACTCATGTCTTATATTTCTTAGCATTCCCAGCCTCTGGCACCATACAATAAGTAGAGAGTGGGCGACCAAGAGATGTGTGTTTCTTGTTTTATTTCACAATCTTGAGAGTTGAGGCTTTTTGTAAACACACTTAGAAAGAAATTTAGTTAACTAGACCCACTGGATAGCTTAAAATGACATAACATTTTGTGTTTAAATTGTGAGAAACATGTTTGATATGGTGAATGGACAGCTGGTTCCCCACTACAGTCTTAATCCATGAAGACCATTTCGTAAGTGCTCAGGAAACTAGTCAGCATTCGTTTGAGAAGAACCTGTCTCCCTTGCTTAATAAAGTTATTTTATTACTGGTGATGCTTGGGGTTTTGCCGTTAGGAATCAGTGCTAGAGCTGTAATGATGCTTTGGACTTTTAAAAAAGTCCTTTTTGAAAATGTAGATAAATACCTAATTGGGAGTAAAAGGTATATTAATATTTATCAGCTGACATCTTTGGGATAGTTTGATGGGGATTTAAATATAAAGGGAATTATGTATCAGGGGAGAGCAGGGGCATCAGTGATGTGGAAGCGAAGTCTACTTCCTCAGTTTTGCTTCTGTGGTCACCTCTAGAAACAGAAGTCGTTTTGTGACTGATGGCAGTGATTGTGCTACTGACCGAAGCTGAATCTGTCTGGACGTTGGTTTCACAGTAAAACAAAGAGTACTTTTCTTCCTAATCTTTAGGACACTATGAAGTTTAATGATATCAATGAGGAAAAGTGCGATGGACTTTGGGAGATGAGTTGCTTTGTCATACTAACTGAGCTGGTGGCATCATCTACCCAAAGCCTTTGTGATTCAATGGAGTTCTCAAATCAACTTCTTAGAAACAAGTTCTTTTTGTAAGGCCAGGATTTCATTAGAACATCAGTGTACTAATATTAAGTGTACTTTCTGATCTTCCCTCAAATTTCTTCCAGACTTCTTTATTTGCCCCATTGCTCAATTAATTTCTAGTTGCTAGGGCGGGGGAGGGGCTGGAGCTTGAACGAAAAAGGAAACCTTTGTTGATGTTTTGGGGCAAGGGTGGTTTTTCCAGAATATTCCATGATGATTTGAAAAATTAAGAACTCTGTGCATGATGGGGACACATTTCCACTATGCACATTCAATGAGACTTTTCTTATTTCCCTCTATGGCTTTCTCCACTCTGCCCTGTGGATTTCGACAACACCATTTTCATGTTTGGCAATTGTACCTCATTAAATGAATTATGACTATGGCAAATCTTGAATTAAAAATATTTTTAAGTGAATAAAGCCATTCTGTTATTAAACGTAACTGCTTTATTTCCTCACATATTCACAGGAGATGCCATAGATCTTATTTGGAGTTTTAATAAATTTAAAAAAATCACCATCAAGGAATAAGGTTCTGATTACTCAAGCAACCACACTAACCAAAAGCAGAGCCATTTTTTTTTTTTTTTTTTTTACCTTTTGCTTTGAGAGATGTTCATCTCAGGTCCTAATTTGCCCAATAAGTCTGAGGCAGTGATTAGCAAACTAAAGGCCAAATCTGGCCAGCAGCCTTTTTCTGTAGACAAATTTTTATTGGAACATAGCCATGACGATCTATTTAAGTACTGTCTATGACTGTTTTTGTATTACAACTGAGCACAGTTGAGCAGTCGCAACAGAGAACACATGACCTGCAGTGCTGAAAACATTTATTATCTGACAGAAAAAGTTTGCTGACCTTGGTCTAAGATAATGTTTCTGAATATTCTTTGACTATCATTTATGCTAGGAGCTCCCTGAAAGCAGAGACCAAATACGATTTCTCTTTGTATCTTTAGTGCCTATCACACTGTCCTGTTGGAAAGAAGTGCTCAAGTCCAGAATGAATGAAAGTAACCTAATGCAGCTGCATAAATAATCATGCTCCGCCCACCCCAACCTTAAAGACTATGGGAAAGAGCCACTGAAAACCAGGCGGAGCGTGATTTTCTACTAGGACAGTTTTGGTTTGACTTTCAGGAAGATCTGTATCCATTACTCTGATCTTGGTGTGCTGAACAGGGTTGCTCCTGTTCTCATTTCAGCAATTCAGGGGTGGGTGGGAAGGCAGGGATGTGGGGGAGGGACCAGTGCAACTTTTGCTGCCGCAAGAGAACTGGGGCAAAGGCATTTATGAGGAGGTCCCAGTGTCCAGGTGCTGGGCAGCATGTGGTCAAGGAATTGCTAAACTGACATCTTGGCTTGTTTGTCTTCCCAAAAGCACTCGCCCCAGCAGGCATATTCTGTCTTAACATTTGGTACTCTGTGGAAAAGGAGATGTTTGGGAGGCAAATGTAGCCTGTTCTCTGTACTCCTTCCTTTGTTTCAATGCTCCTGTTGACTTTCTCTACATATGTAAATGTAGAAGTGGCAGTTATGTAGGAAGTTTATTACCACCCTGGCCCTTCTACTGTCAGACATCACTAATAGATCCCCGCATGCTTTCTGACAGACACAGCCTCCGAATCCTTCCTAAAACGTTCCAAGTAACTGCCACCAATTGGTCAGAATTGGCACACGAGATGAAACCTTCCTTGCCAAAGCTGGTTTTGCATATTTCTAGGTGTGAGGATCTCATTCCGCCTTTTATTTCTTCCTCAGCTCCTCATGTGGACATGTATCCAGGCCCCAAAGGCAGGAACAGGGAAGGGCTGGCAGGCAAAGCGAGGCATTCTCGGCAGAATGCGGAGCACAGATAACAATGTGAGGTGACCAGCTGGAGTAACGCGGAGTACACACTGGGAAGTCACATGAAATGAACATGGAATCAGAAGGAAGAGCTAGATTGAGGTAAGCATGGGCATCTAGGCCAAGACATTTGAATGCGATTTGGAAAGTCAGTGCTCCCGAAGGCTGGTAAGGGTATTAGGGTTCTCCAGAGAAACAGAACCAATAGGATAGGAGATGTACACACACACACACACACACACACAGAGACACACACACAAAGGGGTAAGGGTGGGCATTCTTTTAAGGAGTCGGCTCTTGTGAGTGTGGAAGTTGGCAAGTTCAAAATTTGCGGGGCAGGTGATCGGGCTGGAAATTGTAGCAGGAGCTGATGTTGCAATCTTGAATCCTACGGCAGTCCGGAGGCAGAATTCCTTCTTTGGAGGACCTCAGTCTTTTCTCTCAAGTCCTTCACCAGATTGGATGAGGCTCACCCACATTGTGGAGGGTCAGATCATTTGCTTTGCTCAAGGTTTACTGATTTAAATTTTAACATCTAACAATGATTATTGGCTAAACAGAAATTATTGGCTAGAACAAAGTTCATTTAAGTGAAACAGAGTTGATTTAAAGAAAATTATTAAATAAATATTGTGTGCAGATGGTATAGGGATATGTCAAGTATATATGTACTAAAATGGCTGAGGTCAGAGAATGGTAAGCGACAGAATTGCTATACTCTTGTCACAAGGAAATGTCATAAGGAAATGTTTGTTTTTTTTTAATAAAGATTTTATTTGTTTGACAGAGCAGAGAGAGAGAGGGAACAAGCAGGAGGAGCGGCAGAGGGAGAGGGAGAAGCAGGCTCCCCACTGAGCAGGGAGCCCGATGCGGGACTCGATCCCAGGACCCTGGGATCCCATGACCTGAGCCAAAGGCAGATGCTTAACAGACTGAACCACCCAGGTGCCCCAGGAAATGGCATTTTAAGGAGATTAATTCTGCTGCCTTGAACAAAGGCCATGACAGAAAATATTCACCAACAAATAATAAATATGAAAATGTTCTCTCCTGTTATAGTAGTAAAATCATGCCTTTTCTAAAGATGCTAACTTTTTGCCAGATTTCCCGAATGTAATCTTCCCAGTGTGCTTTTTAAAAAGTAGTTGTTTGTTCTTTTTTTTCCCCCCTAACAAATAGAAGTTTTAAATTTTATGAATCTTAGTAGTTGGGTCTTCTGCTTTATGATTTCTTAAAAGGATTTTAAGCTTAGAAAGTCATCCTGGTTTGGTTTTTGTTTTGTTTTGTTTGAGATATTGATTGATTGATTGATTGATTGATTGATTCCTCTGAAAGAGAGAGAGCAGAGGGAGAGGGAGAAGCAGGCTCCCCACTGAGCAGGGAGCCCGATGCGGGGCTCGATCCCAGGACCCTGGGATCATGACCTGAGCTGAAGGCAAGATGCTCATGACCCCGGGATTGTGACCTGAGCCACCCTGGCACCCCTCATCCTGGGTCTTAAATTCACAGGTCTAACACCTTGCTTGGGCATTTGGAAAAAGATATTTTTAAATATTTAACTTTTTGGTGTATCTGGGGCTTATTTTGTTGTACACTAGGAGCGATGCATCTAGACATTTTATTTTCCTTAAATTCCTACTCAGTTACTCCTGTACAAGTTCCTTTTTGGTGATGTCATTTTTATTTTCTAGCAAATTCTTACATGGATCCAGATCAATTTCCGGACTAACTCTGGTCTGTGTTCTGTGTCTATACATTGTTTCTTTCAGTAGTAAATTACTTTAATGATACGATACGGCCTTATATCTAAATATGTAGTGTGGCTAGTCCCATCTCATATGCTTTCTTCAAGACTTTCAGTGATAAACTTATTTTTCTTCCTGAGAACATCAGAATCTAGTCAGATTCTCCAGAAGTTTCATAGAATGTTAATTGGATTTTGTGTAAATCATTGTGAGGGTTATAATGAATTCATGTATAATTCATTCTGTATGACTTTATGCACATTAAGTTAGATGTATGTAGATTGTGTGAGATGTATTCCTGAGAAGGATGGCATTTTAAACTATCGTTATTCACTTACACCTTACTGAGAGTCATTCGTAATATGGCTCTTGAAAGCAGGTTTTCAGAGGGCAGTAGAGAAAACCTGTAAAGACATTGGTGCCAAGCATGAAAAGGAAAAGGTACCTAAAGGGGTGACAGAATAACAAAAAGAACTTAACTTTTCTTCACAAACTTGCCAGCAGTTAATGGACAAAGTGGATATTTTTAGCCACACAGCTGCTTTAATTTTAGGAGTAGGGTGACTTTTTAAGAAATCACTTATTGTTTAAAATAGAGGTGTTGAGAACATTGGGGATTTCATTGTCAGTGCTCTGCTACTTACAACTGAGTGATCTAGAGAAGTCACTTACCCTCTCCGAGCTTCAGTTTTGTTCTTTCATAATAGGGACACTATAATACCTGTCCTGCTCACATCATGGGGTGATTGTGCGGTTGCTCCCAGTAAACTTCTTTAAAAGTTAGCAAATCATTTACACTTGATTTTAGTGTAGAGAAGGTAAGTGCTGTGAACCTCCCCTACTGAATATCCGTGGAGGTTATTTTTGGTGAGATTATATATATATACCTTTAATATCTTGTTCCTTTAAATTTTGAAGGAACTTCTACCAGGTTCTGAAAAAACTTTTAATTCAAGGCACATAAATGTGCATAAGGATATCTAGTCAACATACGCCCTTTTAAAAGAGAAAGGACGTTCTTTGACTATCTTCTCAAAGAATCATTACTTTGTGTCAGAAAACTGGAGAGGTTGGACATGCAGAGTTGCCTTTTCTAAGGGGCATGATGTGTTTGAGCATTTGCGACCCATAGTACCTGTCACTTTGCTCCTGTGTTCCAGAGATCACCTGGCAATTCACAAATGCAGCAGGACACCTGTCCTGTGTACACGTGTAACTCTCGGCCTGCAGAGGGCTTTTCCCTAGAACAGCACCATGAGGCCCTTAAGGACAGAGACCAGGACTTACAGATGTTTGTGTCTCTTGGCTTCCAAAAGAAAATATTAAAGGAAAATGTGGCTGGGACTGCATGTCAGGATGAGGAGGAAGTGGTGCTCTCGGCAGATTTGATCTTCCGGGCAGGCAACCTGTTCCTGCATAATTGAAAGGAGACTCTGCTGGGCCAGGGTGAAGGCTGTCCTACCCTTTCACAGACGATGAGTTAACAGTGCTAGGCCAGGGGTGTCAAATAAAGGGCATCGCAGTTTAAGAAAGACATGAGGAGTTAGGAGGCCATTCAGAGGAGAGCTGTCATGAAGATAAAGAGTTTAGAAAAGAAGACGTAGGAAGAGTGGAGGGAAATATTGGGATTATTTAAACCTGACAAAAGGAGCCTGGAAAAATGTCACAGGTTGAAACATATGTGGGGATGATCATATAGGGTGGGGCTTCTCAACCCTTTTTCATGGCAAGGCACTCTCAGGGAAAGATATACAAGGCCCACAAGGGCAATCAGATGAGGCTCTTCAAGGCTACCCTCGGCCACCAGAGGCCTGAGGGGATCACTGGCTTAGCGCACTGTAACCTATCCCGGCCTTTGGGGAGTTTATGAACTGTTTGTGCTCCTCCCCAAATTCATATGTTGAAACCCTAATCCCAGTGTGATGGTATGAGGAGATGGGGACGTTGGGAGGTGATTAGGTCATGAGGGTGGGGCTCTCATAAATGAGATTAGTACCCTTAGAAAAGAGACGCCAGAAACCTCTCACCCACTTTTTCTGCCACATGAGGTTGTAGGGACCTGCCTGTGAGCCAAGAAGTAGGGCTCAACAGACACTGAATCTCCTCTGTGCCTTGATCTTGGACTTCTTATCCTCCAGAACTATGAAAAAAATATGTGTTGTTTAAACCACCCAGTCTATGGTACTTCTGTTACAGTGCCGCAACTCACTGAGAAGAGATTTGTACACCTCATAGGGAACTGATGTACAGAACACAGATAGCCTGTATTTTAGGTAGAGTAAGAACTGGGGTCAAAATTTTATGGAAGAGTGAAATAAAAGGAGAAAACACTTTATTCTTCAATTTGAAAAACACTGGATTGTTTTGTCAAAGGGTGTGTCTCTGTGTGTGTGTGTGTGTGTGTGTGTGTGTGTGTAGCATGTCCCCAAGATTTTTATGCAGTTTAGCTTCATTAACTTCAGGAAAGTAAGTGCTACAGACTTACGTCGAAGACCATTTGAAGGTTTAATGATTTACATTTATTTTTGACTGATTTTAGTTTTGGGAATATTGAATAATGCATTATTGATTTTGATTGAGTCAGCCTCTCTGACTGAAGATACTAAAGGCTGAATAAAACAAAAACTGAAATGTGCTATGCAACATGGACAAAACTAAATAAGTGTGAAAGAACTTTAAGGTCTGTATCTGGGCTCATGTGAGGCAAAAACATTTTTTAAAAAGATTTTATTTATTTGACAGAGAGAGCACAAGCAGGGGCGCTGCAGGCAGAGGGAGAGGGAGAAGCAGGCTCCCCGCTGAGCAGGGAGCCCGATGTGGGGCTCCATCCCTGGACCCTGGGATCATGACCTGAGCCGAAGGCAGACACTTAACCGACTGAGCCACCCAGGTGCCCCAGGCAAACACATTCTATAGGAAAGATGGATTTGAGGACATATGTGATCCTGAGTGTAAATGTCAGGGTACAAGCAAAAATTCCAGGTAGTTTTGCAAACTTTCAAGGCAGTGGAACTGGTAAGACCCAAGTCAAGGTCTCCAGACAGTAAAGGGGGACCCAGGTAATATACGGGCTATAGATGGAACAAGCAGAAAATTTCATTAAGGTAGCATAGAGGAATATAGCCATAGGAAATAGGATGGCAGGGTAGGGCAGAGAGACCTGAAGGACCTAGGAGAGGTGGAGGGGTCTTCTGGGTTAGTGGTGGGCGGGGAGGGGTTGTGGACACACCCTCTTCAATTCACCCCACCCCCCGAAACCCTTTGTGACTCTTACGTGTTCTGTGATGTGAGCTTGGGGAGGATATATATTCAGCGTCTGCACACTTAAGAGCTCAGTTGCCTACAGGCAGCCTTGCGATTCAGACAATGGAGTTCAAAAATTGGAATGTTCTCTCATTTCTGAATACCTATACTGAACCATGTCTGAGCTTCAGCTCAACATGGTTGGAGATTGACCCCAACTTCACCTTCCTGTGTGGGTTGGGATTGCTTCTTCTGTTCCTGTGCTACCTGATGCTTCCATTTCCAACTTGGAAAACCAAACCCACCCAAAAGGTAAGGAGCCCTCAACACAGATTATTATGGTTTCCATTTCTAATCCCAAATCTTATTTACTTTAAAGATTTTATTTATATATTTGATAAATAAGACAGAGCCCAAGTTGGGGAGAAGGAGCAGAGGGAGAGGGAGAAGAAGGCTCCCTGTGGAGCACAGAGCCTGATGTGGGGCTTGATCCCCAGGACCCTGGAATCATGACCTGAGCTGACGGCAGATGCTTAACTTGACTGAGCTCCTAATCCCAAAATTTAAAATGAGTTTGGTAGGGTCAGAGAAACACCTAAAATGGGAAGTCTAAGAGAAGAGACATTCGCTTCTCTAGGACAGGAGGTCTGGAAGGGCTAAGGGTTAAGGAAGGACTAAGGTTTCTACTTCAAACTCACAGGCTATCTGGATGTGGTGGCAGGTCTTGGGTAAAATCCCAAACACAGGGATTCTGTAGTCCTTATTTAGAGAGTATGGAATCTGTACGAGAATGTTTCCCAGCATTTGATCATAAGTCACATTCCCATGTCAGGCATCACTCGATCAAGCCTTCATGTTGGGCTGATCAGGAGAATGGTGCTGAGCCTCTGGGAAGAGACTGGGGTCTGAACTACGTCCTAGGATACAGGGTCCTACCTGAGGGAGCACAGATGTGACTGTTGGACTTCATATTCTTTCTTTCTTTTTTTTTTTCTTTAAGATTTTATTTATTGGAGAGTGTGAGAGCGAGCACAAGCCAGGCGGAGGGGCTGAGGGAGAGGGAGAAGCAGACTCCCCGCTGAGCAGGGAGCCCAATGTGGGGTTCAATCCCAGGACCCTGGGAGCATGACCTGAGCCGAACGCAGACGCTTAACCGACCGAGCCACCCAGGCGTCCCAAGAGAGAGCATAGGCAGGGGGAGAGGCAGTGGGAGAGGGACAAGCAGACTCGCTGAGCAGGGAGCCTGACATGGGACTCGATCCTAGGACCCTTGAGATGATGACCTGAGCCAAAGGCTGACGCCTAACTGACTGTGCTACCCAGGCGCGCCCAGACTTCATTTTCTATGTCCTCATTGAACAAAGGACTTCTGACTGAGACTCTCAAGTGTGGACCTCCCAGATAAAATCCTCCTTTAAATTTTTTGAAGAAATATTGAAAACATTTTATCACCTTTAAAAATCGATAAAAGCAAGGAACACAAAGTTCTATTAATTGAAATAAAGTCGTACTATTCTTGGATAAAGAGTGTCTCCATTTTAAGAGTGACGGATGAGTCCCAACCCCCCCCCCCCATTCTTTTATTTTTGTTCTAGCGTCAGGGCAGAGCCAAGAGGAGGAGGAAAGGTGGGACGCTGAAAGGTAAGATTCTGCCTATTCTACCTGAGCTCTCCAAGGGTGACCCTTCCTGTCCCTTCCATGAGGGCTCAGGCCCATGACCTCTGAGGAGGTCAGCTGCTAGACACAGTCCCTCTTAGAAAACAGAGGCCTCAGAGCAGTCAGAACCTGAGACCCTTAGATTCCCTGCTCTGAGTCTCTTCCTGAGCATGAAGCGGTGATGGATCTGGGCAGTGGGTGTTGCCCAGAAGGTGGCTGTGTGAGATGTCAAGAGTCAGAACTTCTGTCTCCTGACTTTGTGAAAGACTTGTGACATCATGGATACTCAGGACCCTTCCCTGAGGTAACCACTGACCTCTGTGCATCACAGAGGTGGTCTGAGTATCACATGAGATAATTTACATGAAAGTACTTTATCCATGAAGCAAGAATACTAACCAGGATCACATCATTGACCATTTGACCTCATCTATTGATTATTTGGGCTTTCAGAGTCTAATATCCCATGGGTGTCCCAGAAGGGGACTCTTGTATTAATGCCTATGTTTCTACTTTCACTACATATATCCCATTCTCCCGGTTTCCCAGACTACAGATGCTCCCAGAGAGAAGATGAGGAAGTCCGGAAGCTGATGTCTGTTTTAAGAAGGTGACCAGTCTTTCCCCTTTTATCCTGATCCCTCTTAGAGGACGTTTTATGCAATTGTAGGATTCAGTGCAGCCTGCTATAGCCATGGGAGGGGGTAGCCATAGGAACAGGTATTGGGGTGAAGGCTACTGAGTACGTTGTGAAGTCATAAAGGGGGGGGCATTGGGAGGGGTCAGCAGGCTTCAGGTGGCCCCTCCCTCTTGCCAGGCCAGCATGTCCTCCTTCCCTTGTCCTGGTCCTGGCTGCAGCTTTGTACCTCCTGTCTCCTGCAGCCCCCTAGGCCGGCATCATGATACCATCCACTTTCGTCAACTGCTATGTCCAGACCCCTCCTGTGAGGTGTGTAATAGGACAACTGCTGAGATCAATCGGCTGCTGTTCCCAGAGGCCCTGGAAGATGCTACTCCCTTGGCTTCCACAGCCTCTGTGACTTCCTCATCGTTCACTCTCTCCCCTGACTCCTCAGCAGGCCCTCCAGGAGACCTAATATCAGCTTCTCTGCCTGAGCCTTCCCCACCACCTGCCTCCATCTTCTCACCTAACCCAGTGACCCCCTTGGCTGACTTTTTTCCACCCTCACCACCGGGTGATTCTTTGCCACCAGAGTCTTTTCCTCCCTTGGATTCCGAATTCCCAAAGGACAATTTCCCACCCCAGTCCCTTGCCTTTCCTCCAATCCCACCAAATGATGCTCAGACAGTGGATCCTGCTGTCCATCCAGAGGCCACTTTGTCTCTAAATACTGAGACCTTTGCTTGTCCTAATGCACCACCAACCCTGTCTGGTTCACCACCGCCAGACTGCAGTTTAACTATGACTCAATCTAAATCGATTTCCATCTCAATGACGCCTGTTCCAGAGATCTCATCTCCAGATAGCTCTGGTGGGTTGCCTACTTATGTCCCGACAATCATGGGCATTAATGCTCCCAGATTGTCAATTTTAGACTTCCCTTGGTGGCAAACTCATGCCAAAGACTTCCTCCCTTCAAATTTGGCTCCATATAATGTCCATCACGAGTTGCTGGCCCTCCATTCTTCAGAGGCTTCTTCCAGGGGAGACCCTGCAGCCAAGCTTGTGGAGCCTGCTAACCTCTCACTTCTCAGCCCTGATGTCCTGGCACTCCTAGAGAAACAAGTCCAAAAGAGGAGTGACTTCTGGATGTGGAAGGAAAGGAAAAAGGGTTCTGTTCCAAAACAAACAACTGCTGATAAACATGACTTGGCAGTCCCCCTTCCTTTCTGGAGCAGCAAAGACCAATCAAGGGAGCTGTATGTACATTGGCAGCCCCCATATCCTACAACCACCTTAAAGGAGGGCCATTTACAGCAAACCCCTATCCAGCTCTTCTGGGGTCTCCCAACTCTGCATAGTGAGTCCTTGTTCTCTGCTGCCCATGTCTTGGATAGTTATTCTTCCATCTTCATTTTTAACAGAATCTCGAATGCCTCCACAGAGCAGGAATCCCCAGTAGTTCCCCATCCTCTTCCTCTGTGCTTGCCTGAGAACCAGCCCCAACCCCAGCCCCTACCTATCCCTCAGGTCCAGCCCCAGGCCCACCTTCAGTCCCCACTCCCAATCCTGCCATCTGGTCCTCTAACCCAGATTAAGGTCTGTGGAGTGTGTTTTCACAGACCTGAGAAGGAATCAGAATGTCTCCTGTCAACTGAAATGCAACAGCTGGAATGGAACATGTTGCAGAAGGAACAGGAAACTGTGTGGGGTTTACCCGCTGTTGTCCAAAGATCCCAGGAGGACTTCTGTCCTTCAGCTCCTAACCCTTCTCTTAATCACCGGGCCTCCCAGGCCCGTGTTGCAATCTCTATCCTTCCTGGGCAGTTTCCTCTCACTGATGAGCTTCGAACAAAACTAGAGCGTCACCTTCGAAAGAGGCTCATCCAACACCGGTGGGGCCTGTGCCGCAGGATCTGTAAGTCTCTATCACTGATGAGTCCAAGTATTTTTTCAGAGACCCCTAATTTGCAGCGCTATCATGGACGCACATGGATCTCTAAGAGTGAGAGTAAATTGAGCGAATCTGAAAGCTCTGAGGGGGACTCAGAAATGATTCAGCTAGAGGATGATGACCTGGAGAAGGACAACGATGACCTGGAGAAGGATCAGGGACCCAACCCAGAGAATGGCCCAAAAGATTATCTGTTGAGTGACCCAGAGAGCTCTTCAGGTAATGTTATGGGGTATGATTCTGAAAAAGAACTTAGGAGCCCATCAGAGAAAAACTCAACAGTGTCTGTGGAGACTTTAGGTCAGAGACAACTTGAAAATGTCTTGAAAATACATTTGAGCAAAAAGTTTGAGGAAATCAATGAGGGTCAGCTCCCCGGGACTGTGCACAATTCATGGCATAGTATGAAGCAGACATCGCTTCTTTCTGAGAACTCCCACACTGAAATAAAACAGAGAAGTTTGCCACCATCAGAGGTTCAGGACTACTCCCTGAATACCTTCCAGGAGCTTCCCTTTATTAAATCTAGTGCACAACAGATGCTGGAAGCCCATATTAAAAAGTTTCATATGAGGATGACGTGGGGCCTTCCCCCCAGGGTCCTTGAATCCATAGAGCTCTTTAAACTGATAAAGGACACATCCCATTCTAGCTTTTCCTCCTCAACCAACCTGATTTCTGAGGTAAATTCCAAACCGGGGGGCTTCAACTCCCTTAGAGGCAGCTCTAAATCTCTCCATGGAGACAAAGTGGGAACAGCAAATTCAGCCCCCATCCTGGATCATCCTCTCCCTGCCGCCTCAACTGTGGGCAAGGAAGAACAGAGAATTCCGAGGCAATCACCCTCTGCTTTCAACCATGAGTTTGTAGAGGATGTTCAGAAGATTAAGGATGGCACACAGACTCTTACACCCAACAAACATGACACCAGAGGCAACAGATGGCCCCCAAAGCTGCCTGCAAGGCAAGCTGGGGCCAGACATGAGCCAAAGGATAAGAGTGCAAATTCTAGAGGTAGAGGAGGAATGCAACAGGGCAAAGAGAAGAATCTAGAACCTGTCATTGTGCCCACAGTGTCCAGGGAGATATTCAGGGCCAAGCAACTTGATGCTCATCAATCACAATCTAATACCTTGACAACCAGCACGCCAGTAAGCTCCCAAATCATAAAGGTGAATGATAATAAAGTCAAAACTACCATCCCCATTAAAAGCCCCCCACCAAACCTATCAATTCCCCAAGATCCTAAATCCTCAAGCCTTAAAGAACAACTGTTGTGTGAGTTAAAGATTAAACTGGAAAAAAGAGAGCGTAGCCGGGCCCAAGCCCAACGCACTGGCCTGCCCCCTGCCTCAGAGAGTTTGACTTACAAGGCCTCACTGACTCATGCCCAGGGTGTCTCCAGTGGGGACATGGGAGCTTCTCAGGTGCTGCATGTCCATCCAGAGGACACAGGAATTAGTATGGAACAACAGCAGAAGCCTTGGGTCCCTAGGCATGTCTTAAGGAAGTGCCAGAATAAGAATCTCCCACCAGCTGCGGTGACCATGAGCCCTCCGGGCTCCAAGGCACAAGAGCTTGGTGGAGGGGATGCAGGACTGGGGACATCCCAACTTAAAAGGAACAGTTTCCCTACTGAGGATGTGGCATTGAAGAAGAGGTTCCCTACTCAGGACGTGCTACTGAAGGAAAAGCTGGGAAGCAAGCCTTCCCAGACCCTATCACAGAAGGGTCAGCCGCCTCCTGAAAGCCTTTCCCAGAAGGGTCAGCCTCCTTCTGAAAGCCCTTTCAGAAAAAAAATGAAGCATTTTTTGCAATGGCTTAATCCAGGGATAAAATGCAAGAGGCAAGAAAACTCCCAGGAGAAGCGCAGCCCTCTATCATCTGTGGAAAGCAGAGGCCTACTTAAAGGTAGAACTGCCTTTACTGGGACAACCAAAGCTCAGAAATCCATGACAGACGTTGGGGAGTTCCTAAAAGAGAAAGTGGGGCGTTGGCATGCAATAGATAGCACCTGCCCTCAACAGCCCATTCCCTCCCCAACCAAGTATGGGAAAACTCAGCAGGAAGCACAAGTGCAGGCCCAGGCACAGCCTGTCCAGGGGTATCCTTTCAACTACAGGGCTCCCTCCTGTAAGGTGACAAATACCAAGTCCTGCCACCAACAAGCTGTCTTTGCTGGCCAAGGCCATCCTGGAAGTATTAGACAGATCAGAGACAAGGACAGACAGCCACAGAAAGCTGTGGCATTTAAGGACCAGCGACTGCATAACAAGTATCCCCTATCCACGCCCCACAGGGAGCCTGCACCCCACCCACACGCCACCTGCAGGCATCAAGCTGGCCGGGGGCCTCCGGCCACTCACCACTGCCCAAGGCACTGTGTTCAGAGATCTGACTCTACTATTTAGACCGAAAACCCTTCTCCAGAATTTCCAGGGGGGGATATTTCCCACCCCAAAATAATCCCTTGTGAAGAATATTGATTCTCTCCAATAAATGTTTCTCTAATAATAGCAATGTCTTTTCTGTGTACTGTACTGGGGGCATGGGTTTCAGGTAACTCAGTTCAGCTGTTACTGATTGCTTCCTTTGGCTTCTAAAAGGTGACTAGTCTCCCGGAGCTCTTGAGAAATAGATATCATGTGCCCCCCAAGACCCCCAAAGCCCAATTCCTGATGAAGTTTGAGGAGATGGGCTCTGTCTCCTGCCCTTTGGCTTAGCCTTACTGAAAATGTATAGTAGCTCACACCTTTGCCCTCATTGAATGTTTTATACCCTTTAGAGCAAGTGTTCTAGGATCAAACACAGGTATAGTTTTCAGAAAATAATGATTAAGCCACTGTTTTTACTTCACTGTTACTACACAGTAGCTTAATCATTATGTAGAAGTCAGTGATCAGAGGATCCCACAGGTGGGTGAACTCTGAATGGGAGTGTTCGGGGGAGGGTGTCGTCCCAGTTGACCTTGGGCGGTTGGGGTAGGGTCGAAGAACAGCATAGATGCTGCTTAAGAATCTGTCATGTGAGTCACGTTAAACTTGACATTGAGGTGTCCCACTGGAAGCGCTCCCCTTCCCTGGGCCTTTCTTCAGGCTGCCCGACTGATGACGTTTTGTGCAGAACAAATGCAGAACAAAAGCATCACTTAGCTGTTAGTGGCAGGAATGTTGACCAGGCAGCTACCACCTTCCAGGGTAAGACACCTTTGAAGAAATGAAAAGTTGAAAGAGTGACCTTGCTGGTGGAACAAAGACTTATGTCTACTCATCCCCTTATCTTGACCCTGTCCTGCTCCCCTTCTTCCTCAGTCTGACCTAAGCACCACCACTTTGAGGCCAATGGGAGCACGGCACAGCCTACTGATGCCTTATACCAAAAAGGCATGGGGCTGTTCCTTGAGTACTCAAACAATATCTGCAGGCTGTCGGGCATGGCATCCCCTTTGGCGATCTTGGTGCCTTCCTTCCATCCATGCTTGATGGCAATATGTCAGATATTGCTTTCAGTATGGACAGGATGGAGGTGCCACCTCTCATATTCACTGGCCTTAGTGGAGCCATGGTAGATCTTCTCCAGAAGATGTGCAACTTATGAGCCAGAGGTGAGTTCTCGACTGCATACCAGGGTACAGATATTTGGGTGCTTCTCATGGAACTCCATGGAATGCTTTTTTTCAGCCATGACTGCACACGTACGCACACTTACAATAGGGTTTTGGAGGGAAGGCAACTCCATTTGAGACTGGGACTCAAAAACGGGGTGAGTGTCCTAGAGAGCACCTGAGGTAGTCTTCTGGACAGACTCATGACTGTTTAGTGCTAAAACAAAAAACCGGATGTCGACGACCTCTTTCACTACCACACTTGTACCTTCTTGTCCAGGGTTATCATTGACCGTACAGTATCTGAACGTTAGGGTCACAGAAAGAATGCAGATTTTGATGCTGTGGAGGCCCTGAGAGTGACAATAGGTGGGATGGGGCCAACGGCAGAGAACCTGAAGAAGTGAGGAGGTCCTGGAGGCTCTAACATCTATGTGGATAAACTAGCCAATAACACAGCCTGCCAGTTCCTACATAATCTCATTTTAGGGTCCCTTATGGCCAATCCAGTGCAGTTACCACTCCTCTGTAGAGCTTATTACTGGGAATACTTCTGGCATCAGGAATAGTATAGTCTGACATTCTGTCCTTTTGCCTCATCCCCCCATCCTTCCAGTGTATATGTCCCCTCTTTATTTTTCAACTCCACGTCATTCATTTTCCACTTCTCGCCTATCTACCAAGGGCCTTGTCTTCCTTTCCTCACTCTCCAAGGTAGAACTGATGGTTTATCAGGTAACCAACATGTAAAAAGCTCCAGTACAGCATAGGAAGTAGAGTCCATGGTATTGTAATAGTGTTATCTGGTGACAGATGGTAGCTGTAGTTGTGGTGAGCACAGCATAGTATCGAGTTGTATACCTGAAACTAATGATATTGCATCAACTATTCCATTAAAAAAACCCAAAAAACAACAACAAAAAAAAACCAGGCTCCAGTACAAGTGGGCCCCATCTAATCCCCTTCAATCCTTCCTGTCTGGCAAAATCTTGTCTCTCTGCCTTTTCTAGAAATGCCTTTCTGTAAGTATCTGATTACTGTTGGATTAAATCTCACGTCTCACAATTGAGTCTACTCACAATTGAGAGTACTGAGGCCACAAGAAATTCAGCCCCAGCACTACCTGGAAATCATTCACTGATTCCACAGATACTTATCCCAGGCTTACTAACGTGAACAAAATAAATGGAGTTAGGTCACTATTTCCTTAGTACATTTTCTCCTGTTACTCAGATCTATTTTTATTTTATTTTAAATTTTATTTGAGAGACAGCACAAGCACTAGCAGGGGAAGTGGCAGAGGGAGAGGGAGAAGAAGACTCCCTGCTGAGTAGGGAGCCCCCCATGGGGCTCGATCCCAGGACCCTGGGATCATGACCTGAGCTGAAGGCAGCCACTTAACTGACTGAGCCGCCCAGGCGCCCCTCAGATCTATTTTAAACTTCCTTCACTTTCTTCAAACTTAGGCCATCTTCACTTGCCCAGCAGATGTGCTAGACCACAGTTCACAGGCGTGACGTGGGAGCTTTTCACAAAACAAAAAACAAAACAAAACAAAACAAAAACCTTCCAAAAAGTATTTTCCTATTCCTGTTTTTCCTATTCCTGTTATATGGAAAGAGGTTTCCTTCCCAATCTCAAAGGAAACATACTTTTTGAAATGTCTTCATTGAGAGATAGCTAAATTCTAGTCTCGATGGACTGATCTACCCTTTCCACGTCTCCTCCTGCCCCTCTTCCTGTCCTTCTGAGGCACCCAACATCTTTTTTTTTTTTTTAACGCTTTTTACTACAGAAAGGTTTAAATACGTACAAGAGCAGATCGAACAATATAACTTCCCACATATCCCTCACACAACTTGCACTATTATCATTTGGCAGGTGTGTTACACCCATCCCATCTTTTACACTGATTAAAGTGCAAAAGCCCATTTAAACATCTTGCCATCCCTCTCTGAGACATATGCCATGTGCCCATGTCAAAGCTCTCACATTTCTTTGATATTTATCACCTGCGGAACATACTTACTCACAACAGATGTATGCAGCATTGGTGACGAAAAACCACTGAGCTTTAGAGGCTTTGGCAATCAGTTCTGCTCTGCCATATAGTCAACCCTGAGGAGCCATTTGAGTGAATTCCTCAACTCCACACAAGAAGTAATCTTCCAGAGCAAATTCAGGGCACAATTTCACTGTCCCTTAATCACACAGTAACTGTAACTTTCAAAAAACATAGGAGAACACTTTATGTTGTTAATAAAGACTTGACACTGCTCTGTTTTCAAATATTTAGAAGAAAAATTTGTCCTGTCACTTTTCAAATGAACTATTGTGTTTCAAGTTAAATACAGTAGATCAAACACTCCCCTCTTTCCCAAAATGCCATTAAAAGTAAAAGATGAGATGAAAAAAATGCTCAATATCATTAGCCTTCAGGAAATGCAAATCTTAACCAGTATTTGCTAGCGCTTCACACCCACAAGGATGGCTAAAATCAAAAAGAGAATACAAGTGTTGGTGCGAATGTGGAGAAATTAGGACCCCCACACAATGGTGGGAATGAAACATGGTGCAGTCTTGGAAAACACGCTGGCAGCTGCTCAAAATGGTAAACATAGAGTTATCATATGACCCAGCAGTTCCACCTCTAGGTATATACTCAAGAGAAATGAAAACATAGGTCTACACAAAAACTTGTAGACAAATGTTCACAGCTATCTTATTCATAAGGTCAAAAGACAGAACAATGCAAACATCCATCAACTCAGAAATGGGTAAATAAAATATGACAGATCCATATGATATATTTTTTGGAATAAAGAAGACCAATCCATGCCACAACATGGAAGAACCTTGAAAACATTATGTGAAATGAAAGAAGCCAGTCACTAATGACCACATATAATTCCATTCACATGAAGTGTTCTGAATAGGGAAGTCTAGAGACAGAAAGCAGATTCATCTTAGAGCTGGGGGGAGGACGGGAGAGGGGAATGATAGCAAAAGGGTGCAGATATTTTTCTCTCAAGCCATGACAATGTTCCGTGTTAATAAAAAAGTTGAATTTTTGTTCTTTTTTTGTTTGTTTTATATTGCACATAATTTCTAAAATCTCTTTTTTTTTTTTTTTTGAGTGGGGGTGCTCTTTGCCAGTATTTTGTAAAACCTTGTTGAAATGTTAGCATGCTTCAAATGTGCAGAGAGGTTCCCAGGTTTCTCGCGTGGGACAGAACCTGAGACAACTGTTTTAAAGTTGGCATTGCACACATCTGGGGTCTGAGTATGGTGGAAGCAGCAGCAGCTGGAATCAAAGCCAGAAATCTCAACGGCTGGGTTAAATTCATTTTTGAAATGTAAGTATTGGAAAATAAACTTGTGCCGAAGTTGCATACATGGTAAAACCATACCATTTATACAGATTTACCTAGTAAGATTTTGACCTGTTTACAATCTCTCTCTCCTTTCCTCCTTCCCCTTCTCTCTACATAGGAACACACGTATACACGTAGAAAAATTATGCATACATTCTTGAATATTTGAGAATACATTTCATGCATCATGCACTTTCTCCCTGAATATTTTTCATTGTGTATTTCCTAAGAAAAAGCATATTCTCTTACAGCACAGTTATCTCCTTCAGTAAATTTCACATTGACATGAAACTTTTAACTAATCTCCCATTCACATTCCATTTTTATCAATTTATGAAGTAATGTCGTGTGTGTGTGTGTTTGTGTGTGTGTGTGTGTGTGCACGTAAACCTCCTTTACAGGATTTAGTCTAGGATCACATACTACATCTAGT